GCACAAGAAATGGCACAACCCCTGAATCAATAACCATCTGTATCTGCTCATTACCTCCATCTGTCAGGTATGACAGAGCCCAAACAGTATCTACAAGAATGTTTATGTCAGTATGGTATATGAGGACACATAATGCTGGTAAAATCTCCTGAACTCTTTCCATAGGCGGTGGGGGATCCTTATTCCTGCAGAGATTGACAATGACCCATGTGACGTTCCGAAGGAAGGTGATAGGAATGGAGGGATTGATGAAGGACAGAAGAGGTTTGACAACTCCCAGTGATATGACATAATCTCTACATTGAGGACCATCACCTATAATGTTTCCCAAGGCCCATACTGCTTGTTCACAAACATTCTGATGTGGTGAATGAAGAAGTCTCAGAAAAAGAGGTACTGCATTAGACTACAACAGCTTGAGTCTGTGCAGATGTTCCTGATGCTATGTTTGTTAGTGCCCAAGCAGCTTCAAACTGTAATGAAGGATTATCATCTGTTTCTAGACATTTGACTAGAATTGGTAAGATCCCAGATTTTATTAGGTCATCAATTGGTGGGTTTCTGTCACTGGATAATAGCTTTCTTGCAGCCTGGACAGCACTCAACTGAATCACTGGGTTATCACTTGTGGCATTCTGCAATATAGCTTCTAGTGTTACATTTTGTGCTTTAAAATCAGCATCAACATCCGAGTCTTCTAGACTTTCTTCTTGGGGAACATTTATCTTTTTAAATAAGTGTTCATCTCTTTTGTTCTTCCGTAGTTCAACTGTCACTTCATTTCTGTGTCTTCGTATTGTTTCCACATCGAGGCCCTTGTTCTTGAAGCTCTTGATGCGATGGTTCTCCAAGCCGGGGTTCTCAGCCATGGCTGCGCATGGCTCCAGCGGAGGATCGATAATGATCTACTTTTACACCTCGGCTGTGCAGCGTTTCTCTCAGTATATTTATATACTGTGCTTTTCTCCGTGTATTACCCATGCTTACCTGATCAGATTGCCCTCCTATTCTATATGTGTCCACGTGTGTCCTTTTTCTTCCTATTTCCTCAGGAGGGTCCTTTGTGTTGTCTCTCGTATTCGAGCCCCACATTGGGTGCCAGATGTGGGGGTCTGAGACCGGCTCAGGCCACTGCGTGGGTTGCTTGAAGGAGAGGGCTAGGATTAAAATCAGGCAAGGACCACAAGGCTGATGACCAGAGACAGTTTATTGTAGCAATGTGGTTTATATAGGACTTTTAGCATTAGGTCATTGTTATTCTACCCAGTTACAATGTTTTCTATAGTAACAAGGATATGATTACCAACCAGGATACCAACCAGGATATGACCATATAAGTATAAGCATTGTTATAGCAAGACTGAATCACTCGGTTTTGGTACAATTGAAGTTCCCTTTTCCCAGGATTGTCCTAGTTACAATTACCAATAAGTTTCGATCACTGACATCACCTTAACCAGGTGAAACTTGTCTTCAGGCCAATCATAAGAGCATGAGGGCCATCTCAACCTTCACCATTAGATGGCACCAGTGCTG